TCTTTCGCTCTGTTAATTTAATTAATTCATTTTTCTGATCCATTAAAATATGTTTATGTCGGAAATAACACGCAACACGTTGTTCGGCCTTTAATATATTCATGTAATCTAACAGGTTTTTGTTGCATTTTAATAACAATGCTTGTTTAATGGGTTTTTGAAGATTAGGATATGCCGAGTATTTACTGAAAAATAACATTCGTTAACATCTACACAAATTTATACGAGTAAAAGTTTTTAATATTTATGAAGAGTTTTGATTGCAAATTAATTAATTTTGTATATTTTTAGTAACTACTTTTAAAAAGCAATTGTTTTGTTTTGATCGATATTTTTTTTAAATTTTGTAAAAAAAAACACGTTATGTCTAATTATTATTTGTTAATTAATCAATTAATAAATTTTATTAACTAAGTACTTTAGTGTATATTCAAATATTAGAATACTTAAGATATGTATAAATTGTTTATATATATTAACTTCTTCGTTATAACCGAATTTGATTGTATACTTAAATCTATATCTCGCGTAGTCCGGTTTCGTACAGTCCGGATTTCAAAATTTCAAAACAAACTAAGTTGTAATTGAGCAAAATATAAAAAAAATGTTTTTTTTCTTTATTTTTATGTAGTTATAAAAACCGGTTTCAATCCGGTAATTTGGTGGATTATCCGGACTATGTTAGACTTAGATTGAATTTAAATTGAATAATTAAACATTGTGCGTTTCGGAAATTAAACTTTTCCATTTTGATTCATTGTTTTTCCTTTTGGTTAAAAAAACTGTTGGAGATAATCGAAATATATGAATATATAGTGCATGAATTGCTTAATCATTGGCCCTTCGAGTTTTGACCCAAATTGTGGTAATAGCTTTGGTCTTGCAATCGTTTGGTCAAGAGGGAACTACGGTCAGCTATATTTGGTTGTAACAATAATAATTTGCGGATTGAAAGAGAGAGAGAGAGTAAAATTGGTCCAGGAAATAAAATGTTAATGTTCAAATTCGGATTGGTAGAAGGATAGGAGGAAGGAAGGAGCAGGAATGGTCTTATCACGGTGATAAAGTTTTGGGTGCGCAGGATCTCCCGGAGGGCTGTCCTTAGTGAGAGCCGTTGAGGATCCTGCTGGCGTTTATTAGTAACAGTTGTAGCCAACGTTAGTGAGGAAGTGGTATGAAGAGCATGCCACCTGACCATGCACACAACTCAACGTATTTGAAGGTAACAAACAGTATTACACTTTTATTCGCATCACTTTTCCCATGCTATTGCTGCTTTACTGTTATTTCCTCGTCTGCAAATTTACACTGTTAACCGAAAGAAATGCACAAATGTCCCTGAATTTAAGAAGCGACGCGCAATAGATTCATTTGCAGTTTGTTTACAACTAAAAGATGAAATCTGCATCAAAATTAAATTGTTCAATAACATCGTAAACTTTTATTTTTATTCGATACATTATTTGAAAGAATTTAAGCAAAATAACGATAAAATAATTATGGTAGAAAATTTTGTAATAGTTTTGTGTTTATAAGAAAAATACAGCACGAATTTACAATTTATTTAAACTAATTTTCTTATAGTTTATGATAATATACAGAAAGTATACTTTCTTAACAAAAAGTTAACAAAAACATAATAATTTTTCTTGGGATTCGTATTAAATATTAAAATGATTTCTTAGAGAAGAGCAAATGCGAAATGAATAATCCGGATGGGCATAATTTGCAGTTCCTTGAAGATTCATTAACTAAAACTAAAATTGAGATTGATTTCTCGGTATCCGTTTATGACTATTCATCTAATATTCACTGAATGATTATATAAAAGTTGTTTTTATTTTATAAACTTGAATGTTACAATATTTTACAATAATTTTTCATTCATAAAAATTACTCGAAGAAACAACAAATATAAATAAAAAAAAATTATTTTAAACGAGAATTAGTATTTAATATGATTATTTCACATGTTTAGATGATTTTCTATTCGATAAACATACAAATTTCACAGATTATTTTACAAAAATTGTGTCTTAATTTATGAAATAGACAATCTTACAATATATTTCAACTAATTTTTATTATAACAACAAAAATTACTCTTCTCATTATGAATTTCTCAAAAAAAAAACACTAACTTCATACTAATTTAAACAAAAAAAAGTCTCAATTTTATATATTAAAATGAAAATAATTTGTTTATATAAGTTATACAAAAATTAATAAAAAAAAAAACAAGAAATGGAGTCAATATTTTTTTTTAAATATTGATTAATTCAAATCTCAGTTGCTGGTATTTCGTGAAATAATTAGGAATTTAGTGAATACAAATGTAAAACATATTAAACGAATATTTGTTGTAAGGAATTCCATAGGAATTTTAACTATATTCCTGCTCTAATATTATAGTTTTGCAAAGAATTGTGACTTTCGCAGTTTTCAATTCAATCCATTTAATTTCTATATACTTGCACGTTTTTATATTGATAAATTCTATTTTTGACATAATATATTAAAATAGAAAAGAACTAGACTATTGTTATTAGTAATTTGTTTAAAAATCGGCCAATAACGGCAGATAAGTTAGATTTACCAAAATAAATTTAATAATAATTTAGTGAATAGAAATCATAGAAATATTAACTTATACAAGTATATTTTTGCATTAACATTGTAGTTTTACCAAGAATTATCACTTCCGCAAATTTCATTTTAATCTGTTTTTTTTTTACATATTTTGTCTAAATTTTCACGTATCGATTAATTCTATTTTTGATATAATATATTAAAATAGACTTTTTTTTGTCCACAGTATGGTCTATAATTATTATAAAAAACTTACATTTTCCAAATGCATGAACTAAACGAAACTTTATTACATAAAAACTAAATAATTCCTGTATGTTTCTACTTAAATGTTATAGTTTTTCAAAATTTGAATTTTTATAATTATTGATTTATATGTTTGATAAAATACAATAAAGAAGAGGTATTTTTTTTTATTGAAAACGCATATAAATCCGTTTATTGGATCTTAATTACAAAGGTAAATTGAAAACATATTACGAAAGCTAATACTAATTAAATGAGACAATATTATGTAAAAAAAAGTTTTAAGAACAGAAAAATAAGTATAGACTCTTACAGTATTATATTTATGGGAAGAGTTATGCATCTAGGCGAAACAAAATATATTAAACTTATTATTTTTGTTTCATTGATTTTGTGCAGTAAAAATTGCAAAAAAAAATATAGAATTTGAATATAATAAATATTACATATGAGTGACCAATATTCTTGTGCTCACTGTTGGTGAGCACTGCTATAGATGATTAAAACTGTAATATGAAAACTAAATAAAGAATTTCTATGTTATTTTACTTGCTACTAGTTAAAAAAAGTAACAAATTTCCGAAAAACATTTTGTAAATTTGTTAATTCGATACTCTCAATTAAGTAATGTCCGTTAAACGTAACGTAACGAGAGTATGGTTCTGAACTAAAGCAATTTTCCATAGTTAGCACATTACTAGGGAGAGAGAGAGAGAGCGTAATATAGATATGAAGTTTCAGGTCGAACTTATCAGTCTTCTGAATAACAGATGGTCATATAAGGGTTGATTAGGAGAACTCGACACACTCACACACAGACCGTCCACATCAAATAGCGCATCTTATCTTCTGCATCTCCGAGCGAATCATCCTGGTCGGAATTAATTATAACGTCGACCGAAGATTGGACTATTGCATTTCGGTATATTTCATCAAATTCCAATTCTCGACTTTCCAATATATATATATGTTGTACATTTATTTTTTTGTCTTTTCGTTCGCAAAAATATCGAAATACTAAATCCGTATAGAGGAGAATCAAAGGAGGAGGCATCACACTTAATTGGTTATGACCTATTTCGAGGTGTAGTCTGCATGTTACATACGGCACGATAAGCACATGTTACGTGACGATTTTCAAAATAGAAAATAAAAAGGTAATTCTCTAGTTGTATAATTCTGCTAAAGAAAGTGGAAATAAATTGAGAACTTGTAGAAATGATTCAAATTTAGTCTAAAAAGTATAAATTCTTAACATCATAATATTTGCATTATAACTTTTATTATGCCTATCTATATTAAGCTGTATTGTTCTATATAGTGCGAGTTGGATTGTT